TGGTACAGGATGTTTTCTGTTTCCCACACCCTATTCTCTATTCTGCTCTGTTCCCAAAAGGCTGATCTATATAGACTGCAGGTTCCTTTGCCCTCTGCCTGGGGAGAGAGGGGAAAAGAGAGACCAGTAGGACATCAAAGGGGATGCGGAAATGCGGCTGAATATTTCTAGGTCTTTTATTGGCCTCCACCTGGATTGCTGTTAGTTGGCTGTATCTTCCAACTAAGGTCACAGCTTCTTTGAGGAAGTCCCAGCCATTTAGCTCTTCCCTTCAGTCACAGTAACTGGTCCCCCTCCCTTGCCTCTTTAGGCTGGGAGGTGGCAACAGTATCACAACATTCCTGTTGGCTTCCCTTTATTAAATGCGTCTTTTGCCGGGCACGGTGGCTCACGCCTATAATCCCAGCACTTTGGGATTATAGGCCGAGGCGGGTGAATCACCTGAGGTCAGGAGTTCGAGCCAGCCTGACCAAAATGGTGAAACCCCGTCTCTACTGAAAATACAAAATTTGCTGGGTGTGGTAGTGCATGCCTATAATCCCAGCTACTTGGGAGGCTGAGGCAGGAGAATCACTTGAACCCGGAAAGCAGAGGTTGCAGTGAGCTGAGACAATGCCTCTGCACCCCAGCCTGGTGACAGAGCGAGACTCCATCTCAATAGATAAATAAATAAATAAATGCTTTTTTCCTTTTTATAAATTTAATTTTAAGTTCTGGGATATATGTGCAGAAGGTGCATGTTTGTTACACAGGTAAACATGTGCCATGGTGGTTTGCTGCACCTATCAACCCATCAACTAGGTATTAAGCCCCGCATGCATTAGCTATTTATTCTGATACTCTCCTTTCCCCCACCCCCCATCAGGCCCCAGGGTGTGCTGTTCCCCTCCCTGTGTCCATGTGCTCTCATTGTTTAGTTCCCACCCACTTAATAAGTGAGAAGATGCAGTGTTTGGTTTTCTGTTCTTGTGTTAGTTTGCTGAGAATAATGGCTTCTAGCTTCATCCATGTCCCTGCAAAGGACATGAGCCTATTCCTTTTATGGCCGCATAGTATCCCATGGTGTATATGCACCACATTTTCTTTATCCAGTCTATCATTGATGGGCATATGGGTTGATGCCATGTCTTCGCTATTGTGAATAGTGCCGCAATGAACATATGCATGCATGTATCTTTGTAATAGAATGATTTATGTTCCTTTGGGTATACACCAAGTAATGAGATTGCTTGGTCAAATGGTATTTTTGGTTCTAGGTCTTTGAGGAATTGCCACACTGTCTTCCACAATGAACTAATTTACATTCCCACCAACAGTGTAAAAGTGTTCCTATTTCTCCACAGACTTGCCAGCAGCTGTTGTTTCTTGACTTTTTAATAATTGTCATTCTGACTGGTGTGAGATGGTATCTTTTTGTGGTTTTGATTTGCATTTCTTTAATGATCCGTGATGCTGAGCATTTTTTCGTATTTGTTGGCTGCATAAATGTCATCTTTTGAGAGTGTCTGTTCATGCCCCTTGCCCACTTTTTGATGGAGTTGTGTTTTTTTCTTGTAAATGTATTTAAGTTCCTTGTAGATTCTGGATATTAGACCTTTGTCAGATGGATAGACTGCAAAAATCTCCTCCCCTTCTGTAGGTTGTTTGTTCACTCTGATGATAGTTTCTTTTGCTGTGCAGAAACTCTTTAATTAGATCCCATTTGTCAATGTTTGCTTTTGTTACAATCGCTTTTGACATTTTCATTATGAAATCTTTGCCTGTGCCTATGTCCTGAATGGTATTGCCTAAATTTTCTTTTAGGATTTTTATAGTTTGGGGTTTTACACTTAAGTTTTTAATCCACCTTGAGTTAATTTTTGTATAAGGTATAAGGAAGGGGTCTAGTTTCAATTTTCTGCATATGGCTAGCCAGTTTTCCCAACGCCGTTTATTAAACAGGGAATCCTTTCCCCATTGCTTTTGCCAGGTTTGTCAAAGATCAGATGGTTGTAGATGTGCGGTCTTATTTCTGAGATCTCTATTCTGTTGCATTGGTCCGTGTGTCTGTTTTTGTACCAGTACCATGCTGTTTTGGTAGCCTTGTAGTATGGTTTGAAGTCAGGTAGTGTGATGCCTCCAGCTTTCTTCTTTTTGCTTAGGGTTGTCTTGGCTTTAGAAGCTCTCTTTTTTGGCTCCATATGAATTTTAAAGTAGTTTTTTCTATTTCTGTGAAGAATATCAGTGGCAGTTTAATGGGAATAACATTGGATCTATAAATTACTTGGGGCAGTATACCCATTTTCACATTGATTCTTCCTATCCATGAGGATGGAATGTTTTCCCATTTACTTGTGTCCTCTCAGATTTCCTTGAGCAGTGGTTTGTAGTTGTCCTTGAAGAAGTCCTTCACATCCCTTGTTAATTGTTTTCCTAGTTATTTTATTCTCTTTGGAGCAGTTGTGAATGGGAGTTCACTCATGCTTTGGCTCTCAGCTTGTCTATTATTAGTGTATAGGAATGCTTGTGATTTTTGCACATTGATTTTGTATCCTGAGACTTTGCTGAAGTTGCTTATCAGCTTAAGAAACTTTTGGGCTGAGATGGTGTTTTCTAGATACAGGATCATGTCACCTGCAAAGAGACAGTTTGACTTGCTCTCTTCCTATCTGAATACCCTTTCTTTCTTTCTCTTGCCTCATTTCCCTGGCCAGAACTTCCAATACTGTATTGAATAGGAGTAGTGAGAGAGGTCACACTTGTCTTGTGCCGGTTTTCAAAGGGAATGGTTCTGGCTTTTGCCCATTCAGTATGATGTTGACTAGGAGTTGGTATAAATGGTTAATGGTTCTTACTATTTTGAGGTATGTTCCATCGATGACAGTTTTTAACATGATGGGATATTGAATTTTATCGAAGGCCTTTACTGCATCTATTGAGATAATTGTGTGGCTTTTGTCTTTTGTTCTCTTTATGTGATGCATTATAATATATTTATTGATTTGCATATGTTAAACCCGCCTTGCATCCCAGGGATAAAGCCAACTAGATCGTGGAGGATAAACTTTTTTTTTTGGAGGATAAACTTTTTGATGTGCTGCTGGATTCAGTTTGCCAGTATTTTATTGAGGATTTTTACATCAATGTTCGTCAGGGATATTGGCCTGAAATTCTTTTTTTCTTGTTTCTCTGTTAAATGCTTAATTATCCACTATGAGTGAAAAATCTGTCTTCTTCTGGGACACTGATTGATATAATGGATAAATACAACATTGTTCTCTTGGAAAGATTAAAAATTCACAACTGCATATTAAAAGCTCTAGTATTGCAGTAGATAATATCTGAGTTAGCCCAGTGTTTGCCAAACTTATTCATGAGACCATTTCTCTAATATATCTAAGAATATCCCTTGAAAATATTTGATTATAAAATTCCTTGCCTTAAAAACCACAAAATGGGCCGGGCACGGTGGCTCACGCCTGTAATCCCAGCACTTTGGGAGGCCAAGGCGGGTGGATCACGAGGTCAGGAGATCGAGACCACCCTGGCTAACACGTTGAAACCCCATCTCTACTTTAAAAAAAAAAACAAAAAAACAAAACTTGGCCGAGCACAGTGGCTCACTCCTGTAATTCTAGCACTTTGGGAGGCCAAGGCAGGCAGGTCACTTGAGCTTTGGAGTTTGAGACCAGCCTGGGCAACATGGAGTAACCCCTTTTCTACTAAAAATACAAAAATTAGCCAGGTGTGGTGGTGCATGCCTGTAGTCCCAGCTACTCAGGAGGCTGAGGTAGGAGTATCGCTTGAACCCAGGTGGTTGAAGATGCAGACAGCCAAGATTGTACCGCTGCACTCCAGCCTGGGTGACAAGTGAGACCCTGTCTCAAAAAAAAAAAAAAAAGTAAATGCAGTACTAACCTAAACACACACACACACAACCAAACTTAATGGTTTATACTCTTGATGACTATTGTCAATCATTGTAAGCATCTAATTGTTCTGTGCTGTGTATGAAATATCGATTTCCTTAAGGTCAATTGAGGTGTATAAGCTTAAAGCTGTTAGTCGTAGTATTGACTTGTTCCAAGTGGCTGTACTTTTTATATTGTTTAGTTTTTATGATTCCAAATTTGTCTCGTATCAGGCTTACAAATGTATCTTAATTGCTACCCACGTGCTTCTCAACTTTAGTGCCTGAATTTCATGACATCTATTTTGGCTGCCTGGAAACTTTAACCCCTTATGTTCAGCATTTCAGTTATGTAAAATGTTGCTGTGCATGTACTCTTTTAAACCCTGAGGTGGAGGTGATTAATTCTGTGTAGTTCTGGCCTTTCAGCACATGATAGAATTGTATTTCTGAGTTAAGGGACATGTATGATTTCTTAGTCAAGCTTTTAATCACCATGTGAGACGCTCTAAATCCCCTTTTGCCTTCTGTCACAGTTAGGTTTCTCCTAAAAATACTAAATTGGTCAAGTGTGGTGGCGCATGCCTGTAATCCCAGCTACTTGGGAGGCTGAAGCAGGAGAATCACTTGAACCCGGGAGGTGGAGGTTGCAGTGAGCTGAGATCAGGCCATTATCTCCAGCCTGGGCAACAAGAATGAAACTCCATCTCAAAACAAAAAAACTCATGCATATTTATTTACATAACTGTGTGGTGTAGTGGACAGGCTCAAACACAGGTTTGAATCCCTGACTTCTACCACTTATTAGCTAGTCCCCTAGCTGGAGGCCCAAATCCCTTACTATAAAATTGGGACACTGTTGGAAGGGAATCGAATTATAAGAATTACCTGAAAATAAAATCATTAATAAATGGTAGCTATCAATTTAAGTATATTAACTGGTTACTGTGGCAATATATATAATTATAAAATCACCATCAATCCTTTCATTCATACGTTAACACATATCACTGGTTTAATTCATTGAAGGCAAATACAACTTTTCCCTTACTCTCCTTCCAAGATTCCACTTAGGCTGGTTACCCCAAATGTAATGGAGAAACATTAAGTGTCACTTTTAAACCAGTCTTTAATTTTCAATTCAGGTGTGAGGCACATATATACACACAAACATTAATTTAAGGAAGCAAGAATGTAGAATATAAACATGTACGGCAGACACTACTTCATGTATTTTAAAACTTACTTTGAATTAACTTCATTGTTTACATGTAAAAGAAAAATATTCACTTATACTTCCACTTCCCTTTAAAGTATTCTCAAATTATATTTCTTGAAACTCCAATAGAAAGCATTCTCTCTTAATCATGGCAAGGGGTGGGGTACTCATTGGTGACCAAAATCTAGTGACACCATCTTTCATGTTCTTTGCCATACTCTTAAATGCCTGGCAAACAGTAAATATTTACCAGATGAATATGACATTTAAAAAATAGATTTCAAGAGATTGAGATTCTCTAGCCAAGTTGAGGGACTACATCATTTTGAAGCACTCTAGAAAGGGGATGTGATTAAATGTGACTGCATGCCTGGGCTGGCTGCTTCTAGGTATAGAGCTGTGTTAAGGCGTGGGAATAGGAGAGCAATGCCCTAGGGAAAAGAGGGCACTAGGGGAAACAATGGTTGCAGTGCACTGCAGAATGACCAATGGCACCTACTTCCAGAGTTTTCCTTCAACTAAAAAGAGATGGCATTTTCTTATGATTCAGTAACTGCATTACTTACATCAGCAACATTATAGTTTTTATAGATAAGCCTAGGCAACTAGTCTCTATTTACACCATCCCATCCAAACCCAACTAACCAAATTTTAGAACACCATCAGATAGTTTCTTGCATTCAAGACTTCAACTCATAACTCTTTGAACTCGTATTAGATATCAGGAATCTAAGATGTATTATAGGCATTCCTATAATTAGCCATATTTACAAGATACAAAATATTTGGATAAAAAGCAAATTTCATCACATCATATAATGTACAGATAAGGTTTATAAAGTAAATTAATTTATTTTTAGCACCATATATACAATCCAAACACTGCAAATTAATTTCTTTTCAAACTCAAAAGATATTTTTCATTAATCATGATGGCACATCCTCTCTCTCAATAAACGCAAATGCTGTTTTATGGGCTGTGTGGTAATAGTTTAACATTTAGTAATTGATGATATAAAATTATTTTCTCATCAAGACTAGGCTGTATTTCCTTTAAAAAAAAAAAAAAAAGCTCAGGTTAAACAGTCAAAAATTTGTGATTATTATCACAAATAATCCAAGATTTAAATAACCAAGGGCCTCCAGAGGCCCCTGTTCTTCCTTTTGCCTGTCTAAAATTCAATGGAATATATTAAGTGTTAAACTGGTATGAAGAGGTGGAACTAAATTCTTTGAAACACAAGGTAGAGTATCACTTTTTACTTAAACTTGGAGTCCTTTACATTTATAACTGCTATTCAAAAAAAATTAGACAAAGACATCTAGATTTAGATTAACATGAACTATCAAAGGGATTATTTTGGATCATTAAAGGAAACTTAACAGTAAGCCAAATACTAACATTTAAATTAATTTCAAAATCTATAAAGGTATGTAATTATTAATTTGCAAGGAGAAAACTGAGGCTCAGAAGTTGCACAAAACCATGGAACTAGTAGAACTGAGCTTTAGAAACCAAGGCTGTCCTCCTCTACTATACATTATTTCTCCTCAGTACACAATAATAAATTGGTTCAAAATTATCTAGACCTTTAAAAAGTATATAATGGAAAGTGCTTTTAGTATTAAAACAGTTTTCATGAATGACCCTAACAAATTTTGTCTAACAGCTTACTAAAATGCTGACATCATTTATAATCCTTCATTTATTTGTAAAAAGATGAGGACACACATTAAGTGAAGTGCAATTCATTTGTTTTCTACAAAATAAGTTAATTTTAAGCAAAACAATCTCAATGATGATAAATGCATGTCATTATTTATTTAGATGTTTCAGCTCTCGCACTAAGTTTTTACAAGCTGGTGAACACTGACAAAATTATTTCTCCCACAGAACTATAACCACACATCCCCAGACAGTATAAATATATGGTTGAACTAACATTAATACACATCACCATTTTATCAATTACATAATAAAACAAATTATCAAGTATCCAAATATTAAGTTACACAGCTCAAAAGGCATATAAAATATTAGATGTCTGCTCAATTCATTAGCAGAAACCCATTTCTTTTTTTGCAAGAGAGGTTGGGAAGGAAAAAAAAAAATCACACTTTCAAACAAAAATAAGTTGGTAAACACGCTTCTGATAAGTATGGAAAAAAAAATTACAAGAATTTCAGGAAGTTTATGATTACAATAACAAAGCATCTCTACCTTTTAAAAAAATATTTTACTAAATTAAAGAGCATATTCTACATGTTCTGCACAAGACAAAGGCAACATTTTGCTAAAAATAATTAATAGCCCCCTCCCATTCTTTTCTCAGGCCCTCCCTGTTAAGTTGCACCTCAGAGTGCAAACATTAAATTAATGTAAGGCTTTTTTGTCTGAAGACATTAAAGACATGTGCTTCTGTACAATGTAGATTTTCAAAATGGAGGTTTTTTTAATAACAGCACAAAGTGAGATTTATAGAAACATATTAAATAATCACTGTAAGACTTGGTAAAAAAAAAAAAAAAAAAATCAATGGTTAAGCAAACCTGATGTATACCGGTATGAATGTGGGAGATGTAAACATAAAGTGAGCAGGCAAATAACCATGTAGGCCCTACTTTCAATGTTTGAAATGAGTGAAGGAATAAACCACATAAGGTCTAGAGTGTTCATAGTTCCTGGGATTTTAGTTCTGTATGGTACTAAAAATATACAAGTATTGTGCTGGGTATTTTGGCACCTAATCTTCCTAAATTTCTTATGTATTGATAAGATTCTGGCATGGGAATAGATTTAAACAAGTCATAACTCAATACTCCATGATTTTGGGAAAGGTCAATTGATACAAATGACAAGCACATTTTATACGCTGACAGCAAGAATCTTTTGCCAAGTATCCAAATAGGTTGACTGTAACCCAAATACAGAGGTTGCCAAATCTGTCTAGCTTGTGGCCTGGTAAAACTGCCTTTCAATACTCCTATGGAAGCTTCATTAGACTTACTAAGCCAACATGTTGGCTAATATGTATAACAAATTAGACCCTATCTCAAGTTCCACTTCCAATAGCATTAGGCACCCCAATTTTATTGAATGCAACAGTTGTTTCTATGACCGTTGGAATCTTTGAAACGCAGCCGCATTTTAGGACGATACTTCTCCAAATACAAAAGTTGCTTGCTGTTAAAAGCTCCACGTCGCTTTCTGGGAGGGAGAAAAAAAAAAAAATGAAAGAAGGCAAAAGCCCCCTGCAGTAATATTTAGTGTCTTATGAACAACCATCACCTTTCTTGTGGCAATTTATCTTTTGATTAATTAGGCTGTGACCTGATGCAGAAATGAATATGAACAGGCACATCAGTGCAAATGGAAAAAATCATAAAAAGTTAATTTTCCATATATCTTCTTTTGAGTATTAGTTATAATAGTCGACTCACAAATCCATTTATATGTAAGTCCAAGAAAAGACAAAACTAATTTATAGTGAAGTCAGAAGTTGCCTCTGGTAGCAGTGAAGATGACTACAAAAGCCACAAAAGCATATTCTAGAGCACTCAAAATATTCTGTGTTGTATTGGATGGTTAATTTGACTGTTATTGTCAACTGGTCTCCTTTAGAGACCTGTGCATTTTATTGTCTCTTTAATTATATCTTAATTATACCTCAATAAAAATACAAAATAACAACCAACATATTCAATCAAGTATTTAAAGCAAAACAATAATTCAAAAACTCTTGTTGGATTAGAATCTTAATAATATGAGCATCTGCATGAAACGCAAAAAAGAATGTAGTATCTTGATTTCCTGGTTTTAATACTATCTCAAAAAAAATCATGATTTGATGGGCTATTACTCACTGACATTCAATAAGGAAATGAAAAGAGAATCCATTACTTACTGTCTTATGAATTGTACTGCATCTTCGTATTTCATTCCACCTTCAATTAATGCTAGGGCAACAAGCACTGGAGCTCTGGTAAGGCAAGAATTTTGATAAATACTTTTTTCAAATTCAAATCTTCATAAATTTATTTCTCCAAACACTCCCCAACTCGGAAGTATCATTATCTACCACCCTTCCTGTTCAAGTAATACCTATGACAAACGTTGACTTTATATTTTAAAAATTATAAGGATGTTTCAAGTTTCTGTATTTTCATTATCAACCCAGACTTTTACCTAGAATCAAATTGATAAATTCATTTACCTCCCAAGGCCTGCAACGCAATGAACAGCAATACAACAACCAGGTTCTTCACGAAACTTAATTTTTACAAGACTTAACCAGTCATCAACAATCTGGTTGGATGGTGGTGCGCCATCATCAAAAGGCCAATCCTAAGTCAAAAGAATATTTAAATATTAAAAATTAAATATCTAAAATAGATCATTAATATAAACACTGTAGTAATAATTCTAAATTTCTAACATGCAAATGTTTTCAAAAGCATTCTCATTTTAATGTTTAATCACATCTTACTAAACCTTGTTGTCTACCAAATGTGACTAAATGCTCAATCTTTACAAAAATGTTTCACAACTTCAAATCCTTGCTTAGCTTTTCACCTTTATTTAGAAACTACGATTCTGCACAACAATATAATTTTTTAAATAGCTTTTTGAGGTCTATTTATGACTTAAATAGATATTTGAATTTACTATTTGAATAAACTTTTGTAGCATAGCACCATAAAAACATAGGAACTGTTAAATACTTACAAGAACATGTATACCTTCTTTCTCCACAAGAGTAGTGTCGTAAGTTGCTTCACACACTCTTACTATTGTGGTAACTCCATACTTCTTAAGTTCCTGGATAAAACATACATTAAAATAATCTTAATGTTTAACCACATCACCATTACTCAACATTTTATATTCTGATCATCTCTGATCAGTAAGTATGGTGGTTAACAGAAAATCATTTAAATAATGAGATAATCTATTTATGTTTAACACAAAAGCAAATTTTGTTTTAAATGACAATGCTAGAATGTAAAAAGAAAAGTTCTAAATACCATACATATTTTTAATAAACTGGAGAAGTTTTCTTTCTTTTTTTTAAATGGTGTGCCCCCTTCATACATTGAAGTTGTTTATAGTTATGGTAATACCAGATTGGGATGAAACATTAACTAAAAGGGGCTAGCAGCAATGCAGACAAAGGTAAATATAACTAAAGGCATTATTTATAACTAATTGAGTAATCTGACTTGATTCAATTATACTCACTCCTTAAACTTTACTCATTTGAAATACATAGAATGAAGTCTTAAATACAGGAAAGAAGCCCACATACCATTTAAAACTACAGGCTTCAAAATGCATTATTACTAATTATAACTCTCCTGACATTACACACACACACACGTATATATATAGTAACAAAAATTATATATATATACATAAATAAAATATATGGTAATAAAAATTAAAGTACCATTAAAGTATTTCCCAGCCAGGCGTGGGGGCTCACACCTATAATCCCAGCACTTTGAGAGGATGAGGTGGGTGGATCACCTGAGGTCAGGAGTTTGAGACCAGCCTGGCCAACATGGTGAAACTCCGTCTAAAAATACAAAACTTAGCTGGGCAAAGTGGCGCACGCCTGTAGTCGCCCCCACCCCCCGACCAGCTACTCAGGAGGCTGAGGCAGGAGAATTGCTTAAACCCGGGAGGCAGAGGTTGCAGTGAGCCAAGATCACGCCACTGCACTGCAGCCTGAGTGACAGAACGAAACTCCGTCTCAAAAAAAAAAAAGTATTTCCATATGTTCTGAGAGGCCTATTTGCTGTTTCTTAACAACTGTAGGTATTTATAAAGTAAAACGTGTGCACATCCTGATATATTATTCAGCATTCAATTCCTTTCTCCTAGTAAAGAGGCAGGTAGAGTTTTGGCTACATAGCTACCATTAGGAAGGAACAGAATTTGTGAGGGATTCTAAGCATCAAATGGGGTCCAAGACCAACCAACTTTGGTTTATGGCATTAGTCATTAAGTTAAGCAGATATATAAAAAATCCATAAATGGCAACCTTTCCCATGCAAATTTCTTGCAAGATAAGTAAGAGTTATACTGTTTTACTGTGCACATATCAATTTAAGCAAACTCAGGTGCAAGAATTATTAACTCAAGCACATGCCCTTCTCAAAATGTATAAATATACCTCTAACCTATAGAAGACACTGACATTTATTTCTGGGAACTGGAATTGTAGGTATACCATCTCATATTTTCCAAAGTACTATTTATTTTGTTAGCTATAAGCTCCACTATTATATTGCAATCAATTTAAGCTACTAAAACATATCAAATCTTACCTCTATAAATTTGTTTAAGGTCGCATTGGTTGGATTGTGTGTAATAAGAAATCTCATGTTCTTGTATGTGACTTCCACAGGAGCTGGGCGGTTCATTCGAGCCATGTTAATTTAGTTAAAAAACACTCAATAGGGTTATGAAATAATTAAAAAAAAATCGAATACAGAAATGATGCAAAGAAACTGAAGTCTACTTCAATATACTCCACTTGAAATTCTCAGTGCTTGAGTATGAAGTTGTAAGTAATGATAAATGAAATGAACCTCCTAACAAGAAGCAGCAATTCTTCAATCCAGTAATACTGAGGCCAACAGAAAAGAAGTGCACTGAGGTTTACCCCATCCAGGTCAGAACTCTTGTAAAATGCTCTGTGGATTTCAATTCAACACTTCTGTGTCCAGGATAACCACTCTTATGGGGGCTTCTTGGTGGAGTAGTAATCAGTTTCTACAGTTCACTTGTCTGCATAGAGGTCGTGCTGTGCCTGGCAGTAATCTCCACTGCCCTTCAGAAACTCCATAAATGTGTGACCAAGAACACCACAGAATTGCTGTTTAAAACAAAAAGACAGAAAGAAAGACAGAATAAGTTATTTTCCAAGTCAAAAGAAATATATTAGGGTTTTACACTATTTAAGTACACAACTATCTAAAGCAGGGCCTGAGCCACTTCATCAACTTTTACTTGAATCGCAAAATTCAAGGGGTGAGTACAGATTAAATCAATCAGCATAAAACAAGCAGTCAGATAGATTAAACTGAAATCCATGATCTATTACTACGATTCCTCAGAAAAGAAAAAAAAGCCCATTGTTACATTTTTGTGAAATTCATATACATACTCTCATATATACATATTCATATATATTCTATCTATATAGTTATATTCTTTCTCTATATCTATATATAACATATAATTATGATTCTATTAATTATTCCTTTTGATAGTTGTTTTCTTTACTTTGTAATTACATACATAACTTTGTTTTTTCCAACTAACGAAAACATTTTTACACATTAATACAAACTCCAGATAACTCTGAAGTTATTAGTCTTGCATAATTTACTTAACTCATAAACTGAAACATCTTAAGTTCCTTTCCAACTTTATGCTTTTATATCCTTTTCTTAGACTGATTTAAGTGTGTCTATATTTAGAATCTCATTTTATCCTTAACAATCTGTTATCATTCCCATTAAACTGAAGACGAGGAAAATGAGTCTCTGAAAATCAACTTGTTATATGAAATATAAGAATGTATGCTTATGAATTTAAAAAGGAAGGAACTCTCATTTATAACTATAAAGAAAATATTCATAATTTTAATAGTGTTCTTTTTTTTTTTTTTTGAGACGGAGTCTCACTCTGTCGCCCAAGCTGGAGTGCAGTGGCCGGATCTCAGCTCACTGCAAGCTCCGCCTCCCGGGTTCACGCCATTCTCCTGCCTCAGCCTCCCGAGTAGCTGGGACTACAGGCGCCCGCCACCTCGCCCGGCTAGTTTTTTGCATTTTTTAGTAGAGACGGGTTTCACTGTGTTAGCCAGGATGGTCTCGATCTCCTGACCTCGTGATCCGCCTGCCTCGGCCTCCCAAAGTGCTGGGATTACAGGCTTGAGCCACCGCGCCCGGCCAATAGTGTTCTTTTGTATTTTAAAACCAAAATGTCACATATACAACTCAAAACTGAAATCCAACTCAGAGAAGGGGGACAAAGGGATGTTGAAGGTGGAAGTGGTAGGTCTCAAAGTAAAGTAACTATTGTAACCAATAAATATAAACAAATATGAATGTATTTATATTTTCTCTAAGTTCCCCCTTAAGAACTAAATCATTTTATGCCAATATCAAACATTAAACCCATAGTCACAGGATACTTTTAAAATATGTACATGGAAGACACTGATGTTAAATTAGTCTTCTTCCAAATAGTTTATAAAGTACCCGTGTACTTGGGAGTAAAGAGGGCTCTAAGGAAAGTATTAATAACAGGTTAACAAGAGCAGTAATTCATAGCCACTTCCTAAAGCACTTCATGTATACTCTCATCACCAAAAAAGTTTTAACAAAAGGTTCCATTAGTTTCTACGCTTAAATGTAAGCATTTGAAGTCTTAAAATTCAAACGATCTGCTCCCATTTCCATTTTACACCTTTAAATAGTCCCATGCTAGTTATAGTTTCTAGAACTTTGCTAAATTTTAAGAATAATTCTTATGATTACTGCAGAAAACATCAAGTCAAAAACCCAGTCTACTTTTCTGGTAAAACACAGAAATAGCATTAACGGTCATTTATCAAAAGGTCCCATAAGAAAGGTAACTTTCATTATCACAAGTTTATTCAAACAAGCCCTCAGAGGTTACTCCCCCTACTTGGTCAGCTGGGTTAAAAAATTAAGTGTTTAAATTACAAAGACATCACAGTTACAGTGAATAGAGACTGTAGCAATCTGAAAGTAATTTCATTATACTTTCACCCCAAGTTCTAAATACTATCTCTGTAGAATAAAGTGTATTCTGACACTTTCCCAATGACATACAATGATCTTTAAAAGCTTTATAATGACTTAACACAGTATTCTAATTTCCAGGTATTACTTTTCAATTAAAAGCTGATTTGAGACAGTATTTCACACCACTATTTCCCTATTTAACAGCTAAAACTCCTGTTGGCTACAACCTAGTCGGGCCATATCCCTTCATGTAAGTAAGCACTTTGATCAGGAAGCAGAGAAAGCACTATATTAAGAATTCCTTTCCTGAACTGGTTATTTTTACTGAGTGGAGCCACCTAGTGGCTGGGGGGACTCGTCTGTTAAAGCAGTGGTGACGACCCATAGCTTTCTGTTCCGCCCAAGGCACTCCTCCATTCCCAATATCCTACCCACAGGAAAAACTATCCATGATGGGGATTTTTTCCCTCCCACATATCAGTTGCATTATAATCACAATCGTATACAAGAGGGGAGAGGAGGAAAGAGCAATCTCTGTGCAGAAGCTTAAGTCACTATTATACTGCAGAGTCAAGCCAATTAATGTGTATAACTCTTTTGCCAAATAATGCCTTGAATAGTCTGTTCCACATCTACTTAGGTCTTAGGGCACCTAAGAAAGCATGCGTAAAATGCTGCTCACTCTTGGGAATGATCTAGTTTTCAACTGACTAACAGGAAGCACCGCCTCAGGATCTGGATGTCGAGCAGGTCAACGGTTCCAATCGTAGTGCAAATCACTTAATACTCGTGGACTGGTAGGGGGCTCCGCGGCCAGAAGATAAAAAACTCTCAGAATTCTGGCTGTGGTTGGCTACTGCTGCCACAAACCAACAGGAGGCAACAACATATTACACCACAGAGTTCAGGAACAGTTCTAAACAGTCCCCGATTAAAAGGCGCCATCCAGGGCCCTTCCAAAATTGGCAGGGGAAACGTATGCTGGTGCCCGGACGGGAAGTCCTTCGCGTCAGTGTAACTAACAGTAGCCCTGTCAGTTTCCAAGACGCTCCGACCCAAGCCATTTCTCCACGACTGGCCCAGAGAAAGGACAAGACTAGACTTGTTCCCATTATCACGAGCCCGAGGTGGGGCGATAAATCCGGAACAGCTCGAATTACCAGGTGGAGCCTGGGAGGAGGGCGGGGCGGAGGGCCGAAGTTCTCACCTAGCAGAACCCCTCTCTGGCCCGGGCAGGGGTGCAACTCGCGGAATGCCCCCGAGGGCCGCCGCCCCGCGCACGCGGCTGTGTGCGCCCGAGCACGCCCGCTGCGCCCCCTCTCTGCGCCGCAATCACGGGTTCGCGCCGCGCCTTCAGTCAGGCGCGGGCGCCGAGGCCATTTTGTCTGAGGCTCGGGTCCCGGCCGTCGAGCACAGGAGTGTAGCTGCACCCAGTGGCTGTCCCGCGCCCACCCCGGAGCTCCGAGAAGCTCTGGGACCAGATCGTTACCACCCGTGCCAGGCTGTCCCGCCTACCCCACGCCCGCCCGGATCTGGAGGCGAACCCGCCACCGCCGCGCCCTCC